AAATATGATCAGAATATCAACTTGCATAATAATTATGCATGCACTGTATTTTTCCTCTTCTGCTGTCGAGGTAATGCAAGGAATGTTGTGATTGGTTGTCAAGGCAGCCAATCAGAATTTAGCAGCCTCGTCTCTGATTGGCTGGAATTATGGCACATTGTAATGCTGGGTTGTGTTGAGCACGCAAGCTGTTGGCATGTAGAGAGCACTGAGGGCGGGCATTAGGTGAGCAAGCTAGTGAAACGTTGCACGTGCAAAAGAGAAGGTCTGCACATATCCAAAAACTTATTTTAAATGCAAAATTGATTTTCGTGCGCTCGAAATACTTTCTTCTTTGCGAAACGAACGTTTTCTCCACAAAACTCAGATCGCGCGCGTGCAAAATGCACTTTTGTGCGCTCAAAATATGATATTTCGCGCGCTCAAAATATGATATTTCGCGCGCAGAAATGTGGCAGAAATGTAATCCCATACCAGACTGGCCTGACTGATCTGTCGACAGTTTTAGATGGGTTTTGTGCACTTTCAGCTGGTCAGACTGGGAGACCATCTTAGCTAGGACCTGTTTCTAGGCCAGCAAACCTGGTTTAAGATTTTTCACCAGAAGACACACAATATTTAGTTGCATTGCCAGTGATTATGCAAACTTACAAAGGAAAAGTGCCTCATATCTGAGACTTCAATGCCTGTGTGGTGACAAAAGTGCACACAAGGTGTTCAGTCTTGTCATAAACACAGGTTATGGTTTAGACAGGACTGTTATCTGCCCTCTCATAACAGTCAAGGCCTAACACGACATGACAGCCAATCTGACATCCGACACACTCTGTCACATGCAAGTTCCTGTTTCCCCAACATGTGCACTATTGTGGAGCGGTCAGTGACAGCGTTTAGCATAATGTCCAAACATTTCATGACAGGGATGTCGAGAGGCATTAAGAACCCTTTTAGCATGATAACAAATAATAAGAAGAGCTCAAAGCGAAACGGGGCATTACCAGCATCAACCAATAGCCTACATAATTCACAGAACACATCAGTTCATAGACTTATTGAAGGATTTTGCATTAGTATTAGGCCTACTTTATTATGATTGTTTTAAAATGGCTTCACTTCAAGTATATTGTATTTTCCACCTGTGTCGTCCTGCAATAGGGTGTCTGGAATGACTTAATAACATGGTACTTCTAGATGCATTGTAGTATACACTGCAGTATATAGCCTACTTTATGTGAAGTATGCAGTAACTATGTTAGCATTTGGTTTCATACTTTCTTATCAATGACTAGTTTGGAAGGAAATTATTCTTATTGCATACAATGCAGGCTATTCTGCATACTATTTGTTAAAGATAATGGAAGTAGTATGCTTTAGATTTGACAATACTGGTTTATAAATGCAAAATAATTTCTTATTTACAAAATGATTCTCATTTACTTAATACCTCAGAAATAATACAATTATGTCAGTATGCCTTTTTAAACATAGCATATGTGTGTTTGGAATGATAGCCTGTAGGCTACTATTAAAGTACACCTACCGTGATTTGCAGTCTATACTGTTTATTTGCAGTATGCAGTAACTGCATTAGGATTCCATTTTGATTAATCAATCCTCTGTTTCCATTGGCTATGTTTGGAATGCAATACTACTTCACTGTTTAATGCATACACTGTATACTGCATACTAGTTGCTAAACATTATAACTGAAGCATTATGCATTGCATTTGCCAATATTGGCTTTAAAATGTAAAATAAACAGAATGATAAAAGTATGTCAGTTTGCTCTTCTGATCATATCCAATGTGTATGGAATATCATACTATACTACCCCTACTAAGTATGCACTGAAGTATACTGTATGTGTAGTATGCAGTAGACAAAGTTGGCATTCCATTTTGTTATAATGCCCGTCTGGTTTCATTGGCATTTGTAATGGAATAGGCTACTACTTCACCATTTAATGTGTGAATTTTGTTACTGTACAAAACGTTGTGTCAGATAACTGTGTATCAAATTAACTGGTTTTATTCAAGTCAAATTATTACTGAATCAACACGGTTACACCATCAAATTAAAAAGAGTCGACAGGCAGAAGTAGATAGTGAACGTAACAACTTCACATTAATTTTCACTGATTGCGCCATAGTGACCGACGCGCGCACAAACCACAGACAGGAACGTGCTACAGGAACGTTAACGCAGCACGTATTAATAGAGGCCGATTTGGATGTCTGCATGCTCCATTTTTAGGTGAGGCTCCTCACAGCTTCATCCTATTTGACCTTGAGGGTTGATAATAGTTCCTCGTGGTTTATATATCACTAGAGATCGCTAGGAGAATTTTTCCTAACATAAAGACCTAATAGGATATTTAAAATAATAAATTAGTCATGTTACGATTCTGAAGCTAAAACCTAAAGATAAATAGACATGAAATGTGTGTTCTGCACTGTGAGCTCGCTAGATAACACATAAACTGATCGTACGTATCGTACAGAGTATCGTACAGAGGTGCTCATTTTGAGATGGTCCTGGATGACATACTCCTCAAGGTCATTATTAGCGTGACAGTCTGTGTTCTAACATATGTACCAACATCTGTTATAGGAGGGCATTTAGGTTTTAAGCGCCAACCGCTGTTTTCATGCAATATTTACTTGTATTCCCATCATGCACTGCTTTGCCCTTTCTGCAAGGATTCTTGTAAGGGGAAAAAAAATTAGACTATTTACTATAATGTTAGTGCTTTGAGGTCTTTTTCAGTGACCCCCTATGGCATGGCCATTTTTACCATCTGCTCTTCAAAGACAAGTGTATGTCAGACACTTGAATGGTTGAATACTATTCTCAAATAAAAACTGAAAAATAAATTATACAAATAAAAAATTAATAAAAAGAAAATTGTTTGTTTGTGAATGACATTTCTAAGTAATTAATAAATTCTGTCCCTGAAAAATTATTATCTTTTTGGTCATACATCAGCATTACTACATGCATTGAGTTTTTAATGAATGCTTTCTGCATGGATATTGATGCAGACTGCCTATAGTGCCTTTCTATCCTCTCTAAGGAACGATTACTGTTATTAAGTACTTTGGTCTTACAAAAAAACTTATTTTCTCCCTGTCAGAATGTGTCTCTCTATCTCAGTGTCAGTGGATCGAACTTTCTTGACCCTAGATCCTGTGTGCATCATATATACATACAGTGCCAACAACTGTGTGCTATATTGTCTAGTTGATATATTATACACACACTTTCTCTATATACTGAGGAGGGTAAAATAGTAATTTTTACTTGGCAGAGACAGCACAATTATATTTACACACAAAAAAATCAATAATGATATATAGGTGAGAAAGTACACGAATGCAGCATGATTTTACACGTTGTTGTGTGTGCAAGTACATGTTGCATTATCAGCAAACAGCTAAAAGTCTGTGGATTATAAAATATACTGGGGATTTTTTTTAAACAATGGAAGCAAATGGTTACCAACATTCTTCAAAAAAAAAAAAAACTGGACACGAGGTTTTGGGTTTGAGTTCTGATTTTTGTAGTTCAAATAACACTAACCAAATAAAGACACAGAGGAGCAATTTCATATCCATTAATATTTTACTAAAAAATGATCAAAATAAATATTTACAATTTTAACATATTAACCTAGTAAGGACACCACTTTCATCACAGCATTAGAAACCATGGGGAAAAAACCTAATGCCACTCTCCAAACACACTGATCTTCAATATGCATCAGGATCATTGTGTGCGCGTGTGTGTTTTTGAGACAGAATGAGAGAAGGCAGAGAGGATAGAGAGCAAAAAATACAATGAGAGACAAACATATTGTGTGCTTGAGTAAAAGTGCGTGTGTATTTAACAAGACGAGGGGTCGTCGGAACAGGAGGGACCATAAATTGCACTTTCCGATCAAATGCAAGTTAAACAGAACTGGGCAGAGAAAGACTGATCAGTATGGTGTCCTGAAGCTTTGAAATTGTCCACGTACTGTACTTTTGTCCAGATGTCCATTGCTACAGTTTTCTGGAGAACATGCTAAAGGCCTGAATGAGGTTACACAGTGTTTTTCATTAAAAAAAGGCCAAAGCTGGACTCTGACCATGGCTCTCACGATACAAACAGTGTCTTCAGAGGCGGTCGGTGTTCTGAACACTTTTTCTATTCTATTTCTATACACGTTTGCGCAGTTAAGTTAGATTCGTTTCTCATCCGATTGGATTTCATTATATTATTCATAAAGACGTCTGCTCTAAAATGAATGGACAAACATTTAAATACTTCTCAATATTCTCACTTTTTTTCAGTAGTCACATAAATCAAAAATAAAATACGCTCCTGTGGAAAAAATAAAACAGTCTAGAGGGTACCATGGTCTACGACTGCACAGTGATTATGCAGGGCATGGCTTGGGAAAGAGCAGCGGCTGAGATGCACTGAGGGTGTGTGCCACATTCCCGAGAATCATGGGCGCATAGGTCCAGTGACCGATAACTGATAACATGCCCATGTTATTAAATCCATAGAAGTTCATGTACATCTACATATATCAAATCTTTTCCATGTGTGTGTTTTTTTTCATCGTTTTCTAATCATTATTGCGATGAATCCTTTTTCTAAAGATGGTTTAAAAAGAGAATTACACTCTGTCCACTACAGAATCGGCTATTTACAAATTCGTTAAAAAGCAAGCGAGTTGAACAGTCTGCTATTTACAAAACAATGTAAATAATTTACTTTAGGTATGATTTTATAGAATATATGTATACGAACTCTTCTTCACAGTTTATTTAATAAGTATTCATTAATACCATATCCATGTTAACAATACCCTCTCGGGCAAACAAATGCCCATTTTTAGCTATGTTAAGATGTTGAGATGCGGCGTTTCGGTTTGGCGAGGGTTATGGCAGAGTGTTAGAATGAGCAGATCTTTTTTTTTTTCGCCAAACAGCTACCAGTTGAGTTTGCTGTTCTTTCTTCCCACCCGCTTCGCCCTCAAAGGCAGCACGAGTTCTTTGAATGTACATGATGGAAACACAGAAGTCTGTGCAATAACCACCGCACAGTATCTTGCGGTGGCACCCCGGTGCGTAAAGCCGTCAGGGGCCTCGGCTCCCTTTCAAAATCTACCTTGTCGGCGCGATCGCTCAGCTTGGTGGCGTCATTGCTGTAGGGTCGGTTTTCTGATGTCTGTTTTGCGGTCTTGCGGAGTTTAAGGCACTTGAACGTTTTTGGTTTTCACGGTAAGTCGGATGACACCAGAGCCAGTCCGGAGCTCTGCCGCAGCGAGGAGCCGGAGTGGACAGCCTTCGGGCAGTCGGGAGTCAGGACGCGCCCGTTCTCGCCCACGCTCCCCGTGATGGACAGGCGCGCCTTGTTCCGCATGGCTTCGGTGAAGGTGAGCTGCGTCCGGAGAGAAAAGAAAGATGGGAACAGGGAGAATGGGAGTCAGCTGCGCGCACTTAAAAAAACCAGAGCATCATTATTTGAATGAATGCACATTATCAGCAAGCACATACAAAACACCAGATTATGACACAGTTCAGCAATGAAGCGTCTTAAATGCATCTGGCATAGTCCTTCGGAGCCAAAGATTACTTGAAATTCACAACTAGGGGGTTTTTAAGACTATGCCTAGGGTGAAATGATCATCTCAAGCTTGGTTTGACTATTCCTCTTTAGGTTACCGCACTGGCGTGTGATTACAAACGTGTGCAGTCCAGGTACCTCGATCTTCAGCATGCGCAAATATGTGAATGCACGTCTCCAACTTGGAGTACAGGTGGAGGAGACAGAACAAGGACGTCACAAACACAAGAAGCTTTACCACGGCAAGCTACGGCAGCGAAAACAGAGGAGCTCCACTTACGACTGCCGGGCACCTACGTACATCTGACCTCCTACATCTCTACTCCTTCAGTGGCGTAGACGTTGTAACCCTCTCTATATGTGGCTAAACTCTGAGTGCTGTGGGTGGGACTGGGCCCTGGGGAGGGATGGGGGCTGGGGAGGGGGACGGGACTGGGGAGAGGAGAGGAAGAGGGGCGACGTTCAGACTGTTCCACCTTCATTCTCTTGGCCTCGTTTCGGGACCTGTAGCAGAACTCGATGAGGGCCACCAGCATGGCCAGGCCCAGGCCCCCGACCAGAATGTAGAAGACCCCAGCCACATTACTGAGGCTGAGGGCCTGTGAGCTCTTGTCCTGGATGCGAGAGGAAGGAAAGGAACAAGAAGACAGGAAGTTAACGCGGCGGGAGCGGAGCCAACGTACACTTGCACGCACGCATTCAGAGAACTACTCGCTACCAAAACACATTCACACACATTTACAGTTTACAGACAAATCAATTCATACTGTATCCTCCCAATCAACCTTTCGCTTGCAGGCTAATCTGAAGAGCTGATGTTTTTGTGGCGACTTCTATCAGGCATCGATGCTTTGACAGCATCTTAAAGGGTGACAATTAGTAAGTAATTACAGGAGATGCTTTCATTTTTCTCTCAAATGGATCGCTAGCTCCACACTGCGTCAGGGTTTTAACTTCTCACTGTGTTCTAGCTTATCTCCACATGTGGCGTGTTTCTCGCTTCACAAAAGTTGGGCTTGCTTGGGTTGTCATGCAAAGAGAAATCAATGGTACGCTCGGTTAATTAATAAATTTAGGATACCTTCAAAAGCCCAGTCACTTCCATTCCTCTCAGGTACTAGGTATGTTACTAAAAACAGAGATGCATCTAAGAAGACATTTAGTGTGGAGAAGCAGGGCATGCTGGAACTATCCTGCTTGGTGCACATCTGAAATCTCCCTACAGATGAGCATGCGCTAGATACTGGTGACTTTCTGCCTCACTGAGCATTAGACAACAGTGATGGTCCCAGACTTGTGGAGACTGACCTTACTTCCCGAGTCCTTGGGTCCACACTCGCCCTTATCGTACCACCATTTGTTTTTCAGCTTGTCTAAGACGCCTGATTCACTCAGTTTCAAAACGGCAAGGTTTACGGGGGTTCTTCAACCGCGCAGAGGAATGTAACACAAATAACATAAATAACATCATAGGACATGTTATTTTATGTTATTCACTCATAACAGCTGACACAGCAGTTGCACTGGCAAAGTGACCGAGCCAAGGGTCCCGTTGTGATACATGTCTCTGTGCTCCATTTAAGGGAACAGTGTTTTAGGACCTGGCACTGGAGCTACAGACATATGAACAGGACCTTGCTCCATCGCTTTGGGTAACGGGCGCATACTGCCACGGCCTGCTTCTCTACCAATGCTGGAGGCAATTACTGTTAAACCACAATTATTGGCATATACCATAGGCACCAACCTTTTCATATCCCTCTAACCAAGGTCATTACAGTTATGAATTTTTTGTTTCAATTTAATTTAAATTACAACTCTAATCCATTTTAGTTGTTACATTTATGCTTTTGGCAGATGCTTTTATGCAAACTGGCTTTGTGTAAAAAAAATAAAATAATAATATATACATATATATATA